ACCCAGGCTGGAGTGCAATGGCGTGATCTCGGCTCACCGCAACCTCCGCCTCCTGGGTTCAGGCAATTCTCCTGCCTCAGCCTCCTGAGTCGCTGGGATTACAGGCACGCGCCACCATGCCCAGCTAATTTTTTGTAGTTTTAGTAGAGACAGGGTTTCACCGTGTTGACCAGGATGGTCTCGATCTCTTGACCTTGTGATCCACCCGCCTCGGCCTCCCAAAGTGCTGGGATTACAAGCGTGAGCCACCGCGCCCGGCTGTTTAGTATTTTTTAGTAGAGACGGGGTGTCACCATGTTGGCCAGGCTGGTCTTGAACTCCTGGCCTCAAGTGATTCGCCCACCTTGGCCTCCCAGCTTATTTTTTGTATTTTGTAGTAGAGACAGGGTTTCACCATGTTGGCCAGGCTGGTCTCAAACTCCTGGCCTCAAGTGATATGCCCACCTCGGCCTCCCAGAGTGCTCGGATTACAGGCGTAAGCCACCGCGCCTGGCTTCTAAGTCCAGCCTTTAGACCCCATTTGTCACTGTCCACTCAATCTTCCTCTTCCGGATTCCTCTTGTCCACACGTCATTTCCGGGATCTGTGAGCCTTCCTCTCTGCATCTCGAATCTCTGTCTCTACTTTCGTCCCAGTCTGTCTCCCTCGTCCTGTATTTCCTGACCTCTCTCTCTGTCTCTTTCACTCTCCCCTCTGGCCTGTGCATGCCTTATTTCTCTTACTCGACACACTCCTTCCTCCCTCGGACTTCACCAATCCATCCTTATACCTCCCTTCTGCAAAACTACATTCTCAGCCCCTGGAGGAGGGCTTCTCAACATGGGCACCATGGGTGCCTGAAGCTGGATAATGGTTTCTTGTGAGGCCTGCCCTGTGCCTCACAGCACCCTTGGCCTCTACCCACTAGATGCCAGTAATGTCCCCTCCACACAGTTGTGACAACAAAAATGTCTCCTGGTATTGCCGATGTCTCCTAGGGGGCAGAATCACTCCCGATAGAAATCCATTTGCTTGCCAGGCGCGGTGGCTCATGCCTGTAATCCCAGCACTTTGGGAGGCCGAGGCGGGTGGATCACGAGGTCGAGAGATCGAGACCATCCTGGTCAACATGGTGAAACCCCGTCTCTACTAAAAATACAAAAAATTAGCTGGGCATGGTGGCGCGTGCCTGTAATCCCAGCGACTCAGGAGGCTGGGGCAGGAGAATTGCCTGAACCCGGGAGGCGGAGGTTGCGGTGAGCCGAGATCACACCATTGCACTCCAGCCTGGGTAACAAGAGCCAAACTCCATCTCAAAAAAAAAAAAAAAAAAAAAAAATCCATTTGCTTGGACTGATTTGCATTTCCTGTCCTCAATTCCCCATGCCTCCCTATAATTACCGTCCTATAGTATTACTGCTCTTCAACCTTCCTTCTTTCCTTCCTTCCTCTTTCCCTCCCTCCCTCCCTTTTTCTTGTCTTTTTCCCTACCTCCTTCCTTCCTCTTTCCCTCCCTTTCTTTTCTCTTTCTCTCTCCCTTCCTGTCTCCCTCTCTCCTTCCTTTTCTTTCTTTCTTTCCTTTCTCTCCTTCCCTCCCTCCCCCTCCCCCCTCCCCTATCCCTCCCTCCCTCCTTCCTTCTTTCCCTCCCTCCTTCCTTTTTTCCCTCCCTCCTTCCTTCTTTCCTTTCTTTCTCTTTTTGACAAAAAGATCTTGCTCTGTCACCCAGGCTGCTGTCTGGAGTGCAGTGGTGCAGTCATGGCTTACTGCAGCCTCAAACTCCTGGGCCCAAGTGATCCTCCCACCTCCAGATCCTTCCAAGTAGCTGACATTACAGGTGCAAGCCACCACACCCGCTAATTTTTTAAAAGAATTTTAGTACATATTTATCTATCTCTTTATTATCTGTTTTCCACTCAGGAAACATGAGCTCCATGCAGCAGGAATTTGGTCTGTTTTGCCTGATATTCCTGGGGCAACATAACCACTTTGCCAATATTTATGAAGAAAATGAAAAGTAGCTCGAGTGGACCTCTGTTTGGGGTAGAGAGAAATATCTATCTCCCAGCTGGGCAGGGTAGCTCACACCTGTAATCCCAGGAATTTGGAAGGCTGAGGCCGGCAGGTCACTTGAGGTCACGAATTCAAGACCAGCCTGGCCAACATGGTGAAACCCTGTCTCTACAAAAAAAAAAAAAAAAAAAATTAGCTGGGCATGGAGGTGAGTGCCTGTTATCCCAGCTACTTGAGAGGCTAAAGTGGGAGAAACGCTTGAACCTGGGAGACTTGCAGGCTGCAGTGAGCTGAGATGGCGCCACTGGGCTCCAGCCTGGGTGACAGAGCGAGACTTCGTCTCAAAGAAAGAAAAAAACCAGAAATATCTGTCTCTGTTAGAGATAGATAAATATGTACACACTACAATAATTATGTAAGTGGTATAAATAAAATCTTCAAAAATAAAAACAATTAGTATTTTTTGTATTTTTAGTTGCCAAGGCTGGTCTTGAACTCCTGAGATCAAGTGATCTTCCCACTTCAGTCTCCGAAAGTGCTGGGATTACAGGTATGTGCCATTGCACCTGGCCTCACTTCTTATTTATGCAAAATATGAATAATTACAGAGTCCTGGCATCAGTTATTAGGAGAGCCAAGATTTACCTTTTCCCCAGCAGCAGACATTGTTTCAAGGCAAACAAGCTTAGTTGCGTGGACCTCTAAATTGCAACTTTCTTGTAGTTTAATTTCTCTCATTACTTTGTAATTTAATATCTCTGCCGAGTTTCTTTTGTTAGCTAACTGCTCTGAGCTTGACTCCTTGTCTGTAAACAGGACTAATAAGAACAGCTGAATGAGTGAGTGAGCTGAGGCACGCGAACTACTTAAAACTGTCCAGCAATTAGTGAGCCGCTTTCACTTTTACACCTTTAGTATTAGTATTGTTGTAGTTGTTATTATTTCCTGCTTGTAGCTTTCAGTGGTCACACCCAGACCATACACTGGTCTGAAAAAACAAAACAAAACACCTTGACGTCTGGAAAAACAAGATACTAATGTTGCCAACAGAAGGGCTAGTTTTAAATGCCACAATTCGAATGAGCTGTGCCTTCTTCTGCTAAAAATGTTCCCCCTCTCCACCCACCCCGACACCCAGGGCACAGAGAAGAAACTGGGAGACCTAGGAAGTTGTTGCAATTGTCAGGTCTGTACAATTTTGTGGGGAGCTTTGCTTTTTTTTTTTTTTTTTTTTTTTTACAGAGTTTTACTCTTTTTGCTCAGGCTGGAGTGCAGTGGCGTGATCTCGGCTCACCACAACCTCTGCCTCCCGGGTTCAAGCTATTCTCCTGCCTCAGCCTCCTGAATAGCTGGGATTACAGGTGCCTGCCACCACACCCAGTGAACTTTTGTATTTTTAGTTTCATCATGTTGGCCAGACTGGTCTTGAACTCCTGACCTCATGATCCACCCACCTCGGCCTCCCAAAGTGCTGGGATTACAGCCATGAGCTACCACACCTGGCCTTTTTTACTTGTTTTAATGTGGCTGCTAGAAAATTGGAAACGACATAAGCAGCTCAGCATTCTTTCTACTAAACATCACTACCCTAGGGCATGAGCCCTGTGAGAACAGGGGTCCTAACTGTCTTGGTGATTGCTGGATTCCCAGAACTTGACAAAATCCCATGTTATCGAGTTGGCACTCAGTGTGTATCTTCTGAATAAGGAGTGAAGTGTCCTCACCTGGCAGGAGTCTCTACCTGCCTCGTCACCGGCACAGAACATGGTGTCATCTATCTGTCTCGGGTAGGCATCCTCGCACCTTTTCCGACTTAGCACCGTGATATTCAGGCACTGGAGGGTCTTGGGGAAGTGCACTGTCAAACAGGAACACAATGAGAGGCGGAGAAAGATGGACAGCGGCAGAGACAGGTAGGTATCAAGAAGAAACCTGGGGCTAGGCATGGGCGCTCACGCCTGTAATCCCAGCACTTTGGGAGGTTGAGGTGGTGGGATCACGAGGTCAGGAGTTCAAGACCAGCCTGACCAAGATAGTGAAACCCCATCTCTACTAAAAATACAAAAATTAGCCAGGCACGATGGCAGGAGCCTGTAATCCCAGCTACTCAGGAGGCTGAGGCAGGAGAATCGCTTGAACCCGGGAGGCAGAGGTTGCAGTGAGCCACGGACTCCAGCCTGGGTGAGAGAGCAAGACTCCATCTAAAAGGTGGACACTCACCTTGGGGGCTGTTGGTTGTCCCCCAGCCAGATACCAAACACTTTGTCCCAGCAGATGGACAATGGGAGGAGACGTTGATGGGCTTGACATCTTTAGTGAAGCGAATTCTTCTGTTCAGTTTGATGAGCATGAGGTCGTTGGAGTGGCCAGGGTGGGTGTAGCCAGGGTGGGGGATGGATTTGATCCCCTGGAACGTCTGCTGCCCAGATTCATAGACTGGTGACAGTGATTGGTGGCCGAGACGGACTCTGAAAACTCTGAGGAAGAGGGGGCAGGTCACTACCAACCCTGAGCTTCGTCTCCATGTCCAACGCCAATCGAACCCCACACCCAGCCCCAGCCTCACCCCCACCCCCACGCTCACCCCCAGCCCCCAAACCATCCTCAACTCCATCTTGGTCTCCAATCCCATGCCTGTCCCCTTCCCAATCCCAGTTCCAAACCCATCCCGTTCCCAACCCTAATCCTTTCCCTACCCAGAGGCCATCACCATATGCATTCTCAGCACAAATTCAGGCATCCCCAACCCCACCCAAAACTCCAATCCCCGTCCTTAATTCTGTATCTCTTCCCAGTCCCAACCCTATCTCCACTCCATCTTCATTTACACCCCAGCCCAATTTTCACCCACCCCCAATTCTAAAGCCAATGCTAATTCCACCTCCATCCCAAACCATTCAACAGATAAACGTTCCTAACCCCAAATCCAAATCATCCTTAGCTCCTTCCCATTCCCTACACAGCACTGTCCCCATCTAACCTCATCCTCCCACCCCACTGTCCACAAAACTCCATCCTTAGTCTTATCCGAAACTCGACCTGCTCCTGCTCCCACCAGACCTCGCCTCCAAACCCCCCACCCCACTTCCCCATCCCCACCAGCCCTCACCTCCATGCCCCTGACCCCTTCTCCATCCCCACCAGCCCTCACCTCCAAACCCCC